GATTGAACCGCGGTCCCTGATGCTTTTGCTAAGCTTGTTCTAAGTAGGTGCTTTAGACCACTGAGCCATCTCTCCAGCCCAATATAGCTTTACTTTTAAAAATAACAAAATTAAATAAATAAAATATTTTACATTCCAAATTTAGTATCAGACACTGCTAGCTTTTTTAGATTCCTCTGTGAAAAACACATTAGCTAGTCACACTTGCCTAAAAGCCGTTACTAATATTTACTGAGTGCTTACTGTGTGCCAAGGACTGTGCTAAATAGTTTTAGTGCACTGCCTCCACTTCACTTCCAATTTACTGATGAGGGATATGCTCAGCAAAGTGAAGAACCTGTCTGAGATCTCAGTCAGCAACAGCACCATGAGGTAAGTTCTGGGCTTCTTACTCTCAGGTTAGGACTGCAACACTGTCTTCTTGAACACTGAATAGTTTTTCCTATTTCCATTTCTCACTACTGAAACCAAACTTTACATAAATTCAAATTAGTCACTTACCCTTCCCCTAGCAGTACTGGGGTTTGGACCCACAGCCTCCACACTGAGCTACATTCTTTATTTATTTTGAGACATAGTCTCCTTAAATCACAAAGCTTCCCAGGCTGGACTCAGTTTTGTGATTCTCCTACCTCACCCTCCCAAATTGGAATTGCTGGAATTGCAGGTATGTGCCATAACATCCAGCTTCTTTAATAATAATTTCATTTCAGATGTTTGAAATGTCTTCTAATGGAATAGAGGCTCCATCAGTAATACTTCTTCTCATATGCTACAGTTTTACTACCTGTATTGAATTTAAATGACTTGGAATTTCAAACATATTTAGATTGGCAAAGCAAAGAGTAACTCAGGCTGTTAATGTTATCCTGACATCACTCCCCCTGACACAAATCATGAGAAAACAAAGCCACAGAGATACATGCAGCCTATAAATTCAGCCACGCTGCTATGGAAAATGCCTGTAGACTAGCTTGCTCTTAATGTGATCTTCCTAGAAATAACAGATTTATCTCTTCTGACCAGGAAGTCTGACTCGAGAACTTACTGTTTTCTTTCAATGTGTGACTTCTCAGATGTGCCCAGGGATACACAGCTTTCAGAGGATTTTAACCTACATTTCTCATTTGAACCTTCAATAGCCTTGAAAGGCAGGAAACACTGGCCTCATTTTGTAGACAAAGAGGTGGCACTTCACTGCTCTCTGACCATCATACCACAGCCACCTCCCAAATGGGCCAATCATTGGCCTGTGATGGTAACAGGATAGATCAATAAGAGTTATAAGCCTATCATCTGCAAAGAGCTAATAAACCTTACAAAATAAATTATTGTTACTATTTTTTGTATTTTAGGGAAGGGTCTACAGGGTGTTCAGCGTCTTTCTTCTAGATTTGACTCATAGTGATCCTCCTGTTTACAGCCTCCAAGTGCTGGGATTACAGGCACACGCCACCATGCCCAGTCTCAATTGCTGTCTCAGTGTGCCCAGGGGGACAGAACCCCCAGCCCCTGCGCCTGATTGCAGGTACTTAATCCGAGGAGCTATTTGGCCGGCCCCAGAAAAAAAATTATTTTCTTCTTTTTCAGAGACAGAATCTGGCTTAGATCCTCATTTTATTTATTTGTTAGAAAACAGCACTGTAGCAAAGATTTATTAGTGTGTACAAGTTAGTTTTGAGAAATTAATGATTAGCTGCTTTAGTAAATTGTCACCATTTTCATTGTAACAGTAAGGCTTAGATCAATGAACATTACCTATTTTTGCACATAAACTTAATAATAAAAGTTATCTTATCTATACATCTCTGATGCTACAAATGATTTTTTTATGCCAGGAATTGAACTCAGGACCTCATGCCTGGCCAGGGAGGCACCGATCTGTTGAGTTACACCAGTCCTACAAATGATTTCTGATCAAAGTGTCAGG